CCAGTTCCCTGACCACACTGGGAGCTAAGACCAGAGACTGTCTCATTCATTCTTGCCCATAAGGGTTTTAAAAAGGGATGTGTGACTTGGTCAGTTAAATAACTGTGGAGATGCACAGTTCAATCCAGCATCTACCTTGGTGGGTTGGGGTTTTTTCTTTTTTTCTTTTTTTTTTTTTTTTTAAGTTATCTCCACACCCAACATGGGGCTCGAACTCATGACCCCAAGATCAGGAGGCACATGCTCTTCCAACTGAACCAGGCAGGTACCCCTACCTTTGTGTTCTTAATTATATGCTCCCCACCTGCAGCATTTGACTCTGTAGAAAAAGGGATATAACACACATATGTTAGCATTTCCTGCGTGCTCTGCTAAGGTCTTTAACAGGGATTGCATTATTTTACTTAACTCTCACAATAATCCCCCAGAGTTGGAGATACTCATCCCAAGTTACAGGTTGGAAAATTGAGACCTTTGGTTGAACGGTTTGCCCAAGATCATGTCTTGGCAGTGAATCTTGTCTTTGAAGAGGTAGAGGCAGGATGCAAACCTGGGCAGTGCTTTCCCACATGCCCGTCACAAACTGACCCTGAAATTCCTCTCCTGCTTCTTGGGACAACAGTCTCTCCTGGCTCTTTCTCCTGTGTACACGGTTTCCTTTGCTGATTCTTCCTTGTATGCCACAGTACCTCTCCACCCTTTTTAGTATTTCCATACAGTTTCCTGGCTAACTGAATCTGTGGCTTCAGACTCCACAGTAATGCCTCCTCATCTCCACCTCTAACTCAGTACTCCCCAGGAGCACCAGGGGATACATATAATTGCCCACCTGATAGCTGCACTTGGATGTCCACAAGGACCTCAGTCAAGCCCTGCCCTGTCGGGCCACACCAGTCTTTTTCTTCATGAGTCCTCATCTTGGGGAATGGCACCACTATCCACCTACTGCCCATGTCAGCATCTTCTCCTAATCATCAGGTCATGGTCATTTTCCATCCCACTGCCTTAGGTTAGGCCCTTCTTCATATCTTACTTGGACTTTTACAGTAACCTCCAGCCTAGTCTCCCTGATGCTTCCTTGCCACGTAAGTCTTCACTGCCATCAGTTATTCACTGCCCAGTCGGTAGATTCTAGACCCCTTCCTTTCTCTTTGCAGCTCAACATCTCCCATCTCCCAGTCTGACCCCTATTGTCAAGGCACAGGGAACTAATTGTGGAAAAGAATGATCTGGCTTTTGTGCCTTTGCAGCTGCAGTGCTCGTTCAGATGCCTTCCTGACCTGAGTTTGCACTGGCCCTTCCAGTCCTGCCAGTTCTATCACCACCCCTCTTACCAGATTATATTTACCACTGGTTTGCTCATCTGTCATCTTCACTAAACTTTAAGCTCCAGGAGGGTAGGGGACTGACTGCCTTTTGCTGCAGGCATTCAGGTAATACTTTAGAAAATATGACACCATCCGTGAGAGGCAGAGCACAGGCTTTCGAGCTGAAATGCCTGGACCTGCAGCCTGGCTCCCCGCTTACCAGCTGTGTAGCTCTGGGACAAGTTGCTTATCCTTTCTGAGTCTATTTCCTCATCTCTAAGATGGGGAGAATAGTGTACCTTCCTCAAAGGGTTGCTGTGCTGATTGAATTAATGAAAAAGAAAAACACTAGAACAGGGCCTGGCACAAAGTTAGGACTTCGGTAGTACTAACCACTTACCTAAAGGATTATTTAAGAATATTTAGGAATAGCTCAGGATTATTTAAGAATATTTGTTATTTAAGAATATAATAAAACAAATTAAAAAAAAAATAGGGGTGCGTGGCTGGTAGAGCCTGTGACTCTCAGGGACAGGAGTTCAAGGCCCATGTTGGGCATGGAGCCCTTTAAAAATAAATGTTTAAAAAGTAATACCCCAGATTCCTGGCCACAGTAGTCATAGTGAGTGCACGGATATATCTGGGACTGAAAAATCACTCATAACTGTTTTTGGCCTCAGAGTTATGATACTGAAGTTGTTGCTCACTATGATAGGATTAGGTTTGGCCAGCTTCCCAAATAAGATTTTGGCTGTGATCTTGTTTCTGGTTCGTTATTTAAAAAGCTCATGAAAATCTGCAGCTGATGAGAATAATTTTAAAAGATGGCTATTAAAATGTTAGTGTTTAGGGCGCCTGGGTGGCTGTCATTAGGCATCTGCCTTCGGCTCAGGTCATGGTCCCAGGGTCCTGGGATCGAGCCCCGCATCGGGCTCCCTGCTCCGTGGGAAGCCTGCTTCTCCCTCTCCCACTCCCCCTGCTTGTGTTCCCTCTCTCGCTGTGTCTCTGTCAAATAAATAAAATCTTTTTTTTTTAAAAAAAGTGTTTAGTATGAAGAATATCCATTAGTACTTATCCTTTGTAACAGCTTGTCCTCCAGTAACTTCCAGTGTTGTATTAATAAAACAGAACCCATGCTTAAATCAAGGGGCAGCGATGGGAAGGGTTCAGGAATATTTTATCAGGGAAGGTTTGAAAGGACAGGAGCCATGGCAGCCACGGGGCACCCAGCAAGTGTTTGGTCTTTTCTTCTCAAAAAGCACCATCAAGGCAACAAAGCTCCAAGGGCGATGCCTCTGTTGCATGTTGTTGGGAGGGTTTGATGCCCCTATGGCCAAGGGTGGCAGGGTTTATCAGGATCTGAGACAAACCACCATCCCTCCCAAGAGCAGTCTTCAATGGGAAGTCAGTAAACCCACCACCACCATAGAAATAGAAGTGATACCTACAGTTTTCACTTAGCTACCCTTAAGTCTCCTGCCCACTGACCCTGGAAATTCAGTCTAAGGGAAGTATTCCACAGAAGGAAAACAGTTCCAAGTGCCAGGCAGAGTTAAGCACTTTACATATACTATCTCACCATCTTTTTATTTATTTATTTATTTATTTATTTATTTAAAGATTTTATTTATTTATTTGCGAGAGAGAACGAGAGACAGCACGAGAGGGAGGAGGGTCAGATGGAGAAGCAGACTCCCCGCTGAGCAGGGAGCCCGACGTGGGACTCGATCCTGGGACTCCTGGATCATGACCTGAGCCGAAGGCAGTCGCTCAACCGACCGAGCCACCCAGGCGCCCTCACCATCTTTTTTTTTTAAAGATTTTTTTATTTATTCATCTGAGACACAGAGATAACAGAGAGCATGAGCAGGAAGAGAGGCAGAGGGAGAGGGAGAAGCAGGCTCCTTGCTGAGCCAGGAGCCTGATGTGGGGCTGGATCCCAGGACCACTTAACCATCTGAGACGCTTAACCATCTGAGCCACCCAGGCGCCCCATATCTCACCATCTTTGAGGTAGACATTTTCCTATTTCATAGGTGAGAATACAGGATATAATCATTGGCAGAGGATTGCAACTCCAGACTGCTCAGAGTCCATACTCCTAGCAGTCTTAAGAATTAGCAAATACCCATCCAAGCACTGATTTAATAAACTATGGTATAATATGGATGGACCTCTTTTCAGTTTAAAAAAATTATGAAAACTGTACTAACTTGGAAAAATGTTGATAGGATTATGGGAATTAAGTTTTTAATTATAAATCCATCTTTTCGGAAAAAGACCACATGCTACAAAGCCCAAATTCTAAAAACACATTGCAAAATCTAATGTTCTGTTGAAATGTGAAACCTTAGAATTGCCAAAGCAAAGGATCTGGGTGGGGGAAGGTCAGGTCAGAACTGGGGCCTCATATACCACAGCAGCATATTTTTCAAGATGTCCAGCCAAACACTTTTTTTCCTGTAGAACACTTTACATTGCAAGATGTCTGTGGGGGAGAAGGGGCTATAAAAGTCTACATATTTTGTGCCTTTTTTTTTTTTTTTTTTTAAGTGCAAGAGAGAGTACGCATGAACAGGGGTGTGGGGGTGAGGAGAGAATCTTAAGCAGGCTCCACACCCTGCATGGAGGCTGACGCAGGGCTCAATCTCATGACTGAGATCATGACCTGAGCCGTAATCAAGAGTTGGACACTTAACCGACTGAGCCACCCAGGCACCCCCATTCTAAAGTGCTTCTTTTAAAGAAACTCATTCAAGGGGCGCCTGGGTGGTTCATTCGGTTAGGTGTCTGGCTTCGGCTCAGGTTGTGATCTTGGGGTCCTGGGATCGAGCCCCACATTGGGCTCCACTCAGCGGCGAAGTCTGCTTGTCCTTCAGCCCACCCGCCCATTTGCTCTCAAAAATCTTTAAAGAAACTCATTCAAGTCTTGGAACACCTACAATTTGCTAGGAACTGCTTGCTCTCAGTAGTTAGGGGTGCATGAGTGAACAAAAACCCTTGTTCTCAGTGCCTATGTTATGGTGGGCTGGGAGGGGAAACAATATTTTACATGCAGTGGGAAGGTGGAAATGCGGGAGTGAGCCAGGATGGGGTCAGAAAGGGTTTTTCTGAAGACTAAAGATCTAACTGCACATTTATGTGCTCATGAACATGCACATCAGCATACTAAAGACTTACGCATTCATGGAACCTGTTTAGTCTCAGACTTTTTTTTTAAACCACCAGTGGAACCCTTCTTTTTTCCCCTTTGCATAATTAGAAACACTCTTCAAGATTGTTTCCTAAGACACTTTGGAAACGATCTTGTTCCCTTCTCACAACCAAACCTGGCTCTTGATCAAAAACCCTCAGGGTGCCTTTTGTCACCCTGTAGAAGGTTCCTTGCAGCCGAGCTGGTTGGTGTGAGGTAGTAGAGACCGATGAAGCTGATGCTACTGTGAATGGGTAACTTAGGGCAGCCCAAAAGTGAGTGGGTTAATAGTTAATTCCATTTTAATCAGTCTTAAAGGGTTCTATCAGTCCAGAAACTGTTCTGAGAATTAAGTTAAAGTTGGGTTGAAACTGCAACAATCGTGTGCCAACCTGTCACACAGGCAAAATGGTAAAATCCTATCTTCCCTAAGGGGTCCCATTAAAGTAACAAGAAACGAATGAAACACATAGATACACACAAAAGCAATGGAGTGCTAATTACACAAGAGGCACTAATCCTTGCTTTATTCACGTAGTAACATCGGACACTGGGAATTGTGTGGGCGTAGATAACAAAAAAGACGGCATCATAAACAGTTGAGTTCATCAGGGCAGTGGTGGCAGCTCAGCCAGTGTGTGGTCTCCCTGGGACCTACTGGGTCGAGGGGCTACTCTGCTCCGTCCAGCACTTCATGGCCAACACTTGGCCTGTACTTTAAGAGTCACAGTGATTAAAAAAAACATGGTTAAGACATTGAGGGCTGAGCGATGGCTCCTGGGGCCACTTAGCCATCGAGACTGTGAGGAGCAGCGTTATGCCCTTACCGTCATGTGCTAGGCAGATCACAGCAAACACATGAAATGATCTTTCTCCCTGTGTGCTGAAGGGAGAAACAGCCTTTCAGCCAGATCATCAGCTGGCAGAACTCGAGGCACCAAGAGCACCATCACCTCTTGGTTTCTCATGGTCACACTGAAGCTACTTTTAATATAGGAAACAGAAAAGCATTTGTAGTGGGTCTTTTCAAACCCAGAACTGAAGCTGGGGAAAAGAAAAGCTTTCTCTAGCATCATAGTTTGCTCAGTTCTGTGTGGTACGACATGCCGCACTGCTTCCTCACCAACAGACGCCCAACTAGGGTTTTTCTCAGTGTGCTGGTTACAAGACCTACTTAGACTTTATTTCTAAGATTTTTTTTAGTGGCCAGTATAAGAAAGAAAAATTCGGAGGGAGGGAGGGAGGGAACCCAGCACCTTGTGTTCCCCTCACGTGGTAACAGCTGGAGGACTTGGCAGTGAGGTAGTAGCAACAATCCTCACATAAGTAAAGGAATTCAAATAATCTATGTAATCTTTCCCTGGACACTGAAAACAGGCTGTCCTCCCAGATCTCCTGTTCCAACCACCCTCTCACGTGAAGCTTTATCTCGAGACAAGCTGAGAAGACAAACAGCTGTCCAGCTGAAGCACCTGCCAATGGCTGGTTTCTCAGGATGAGGATATAGAGACCTCACCAGAGGCCAGGCACCAACTGTTTTTGCTGAATTCATTAAGCATAATTTTTATAGAAAACTGAAGGACAAAGCAAATTGAAAGGATCACTGTTATAATAACTTTAATTTATCTTGCATTTTACATAAGTCTATGAACGATTTTAAAAAAGCACCGCCTTACCCCATCACATTTTTCTGACAGTTGTTTAAGTAGGCAATGAGTATGTCAACAGCTTGAGCATTGGCATCTTGCAAGGATTTCAGACCAACCAGCCACACGCCAAAGAACCTGGCAGCTTTTCTATCTTGTTTTTTAATACAGTGGTAGGTCCACTCTGATGGTAAACCTGTCCAGCCAAATCTCCACAACACACTTTGCAAAATCAGTGGTGGCCAGCCAATTAGTTAGCTTTGGCACGGAGCTGTGCTCGCTTGCCTGTGACAGCCTGGAAGCCGGTTTTGATGCTGGCAACAGAGCATCGAGAATGACAAGTTTCGCACTGTAAGAAATAGAGTCGGGTGTCCTTTTGCAGGATTGTGTCCGGTGATCGGCACGTGTGACAGGTAACGTATTCCTCTGCAGGAAAAGCAACATACAGAATTACCTGGCGGCTGCAGTGAGCCAGAGGTTTCTTCCCTCTGAAACATCTTCTACCATGTACTCCACAAGCCAAGGCTGGCACCGAGACCAGGGAAAGCTTTAGCTTAACTTAGATATTCTAGGGATAAAAAGACACAAGCTGTTTGCTGTGATGCTTCAGGTACTAAACCAAGGTTTGAAAAAAGACTCCAAGGAGGCAGGGATGCTTGCCAGATGCCACTCCTGGTTCTATCTACAGGAGAGCCACTCAGAACTCATTAGCTTTCCTAGGTGGGAATACACCTGCCAATTTTAAGTGATTAGGAAGATGATAAAAGGCAGGCCAAGCCTGATTGCTAAGAGATTTCCCTGACTTGGCCTTCAGCCTAGAACCAAGCAGCATCCTTGATCTGCTGGGCCTTAAGAAATCAAAACCTTTCTTCTCTGTACCTGTAAGCAGCTACCAAGAGTAGCTGTCCCATCTTCCCATCATTTTCCCTCATCTTTGAAGGCGAAGGCCAGCCTTTCTAGCTTCATTAAAAAACCTGTAGATCTCCCCCAAAATATTACAGTCTGATTGAGAACATTTCAGAATGATGTAATTAAATTATACACTTACTGATATATCTTCTCAAAACATTTTCTATCTGTTTCTGTTGGAATCTTCCTTTGATTACAAGTTGATTATTACCATCTATAGAACCACTACGAGAGAAAAGAAAAGTATCTCCGTTATTGTTTCCTGTAAGAAACCAAATTCCAGAGCCTATTTAAAATATATTCAATGGCATAGGACAAGTTCTAGGAGCAGTGTTATACTACCTGATTTTTCAAAATTTATTTTTAAGTAGTTGGTGCCTGATGACGTACTATTTCCTAACACTGAATCCAATTTCAACCAATTACATCTCCAGTGACATAGATTTATGATTAAGTCTAACAAATTGATTCCTTAACTGTGTGTGATAGCTTATTCATCCAACAAGGGAAAAAAGACACTTCTACTGAATGTATAGCAGGTACAAGGCAGTGAGGGGGGTCTATATAAAAACAGGAAGGGAGGGCGCCTAGGTGGCTCAGTCTGTTAAGCGACTGCCTTCGGCTCAGGTCATGATCCTGGAGTCCCGGGATCGAGTCCCGCGTCGGGCTCCCTGCTCAGCGGGGAGTCTGCTTCTCCCTCTGACCCTCCTCCCTCTCGTGCTGTCTCTCATTCTCTCTCGCAAATAAATAAAATCTTTAAAAAAAAAAAACAGGAAGGGAACTATATCTTTAAAAATTCTAAGCACCAAATGTTTTGATTCAGTCATCGAGTTGATGAAAATATGCTAAAATGGGTTACAGTAATGGTTGTTCAACTATGTCAACATACTAAAAACCATTCGTACATTTAAATGTGTGAATTGTATCTCTATAAAGCTGTTACCAATAAAGAAGTACAGTTGAAATCACAGGTCACATGTTGTCAGTGGTGCTGACGAGCACTTTTGATAAGGTAAAGCTTTGCCCTAGACGTTATCATCTGTTACAAATCACAAAGTCAAACAACAAAATTCAGCCAGGTAGCATTAAATTTATATTTGTTTTGCATCTCATAAAACTGACTTTTTAAAGAACCTCTCCTGTGATTCTCCTTTAACTATAAAGCTTTATTATCCTCCATGGACTGTAACCCTTAATCGCCAAGCTACGGTGATTCTAATGCTTGATGTAGGAAAATTTTTTCCATTCACTGTCAAAAGATACTGAATTTTCTCAACAACCCCATAATAGCCCACTGACCATAAATTCACTGGTTACAACAATCCCACCTCTACAAAAACTAAATTATTCCGAGAAGTAGGACACCGCTAGTTTTTATTCCTTCATTAGTTTATGCAAGTTAAGAATAGTGTAACAAGTTTACATTTAAAACATTCTTCTACAACAGTCTACATATCTACCACTAGTCAAATAAATTACTCCTTAACCCCACAGTGAGTGTAGTCAGTTCCAACAAACTGAGTTTAAATAGGAAGACTTCTGAGTAGGAAGACAGCAAGACACCTTAGTTATCTCTATAAGCCTTTTAAGAGCTCAAGCTCTAGAGACAGGCAGAACTGAGTTTACGATCTTGACTATGCTAGCTATGTGACCAACTCACTGTTTCCAAACCTGTAAGACGGGTAGTATTAATTTCCACTTACAGTTCATGGGACTATTATTAACGACTGAGACAGTACCCCTAAAAGTGCTTGGCACAGTACCTGGCATACAGCAGGCACTCAGTATGTGTTACTCACCATTATCATGCTCTAAGTCTAGGTTACTTATTTTTAAAGGGACTTTTGGATTCCTGGTACTTATGGTCATACTCATTAGGATGGGCTCCGTGGGATACTGGTCTCCCTGAATGGGGATGGACTGGCTTGGTGCCTTCAACACGTGAGCCCTGAAGACAGGGAACTAATTATAGATCCCTTTTCAATGTTTTCAAATCCCATGCCACTTGTCAGCCTATTTCTTTGATAGCCTATTAACAATTTAGAAAATAAATTCTGACCTAAGAAAATGGTTTCCTCGGAAGTCTAATATTTGATCCATAAGACGACCCAAGAATTCTAATGACAGGAACACCAGCAGGCCTGTATGGATGAGCCACTTTTAACTCTGTTCCCTATTCCTAAGCAGCTAAGCTCTCAAACAATTTCCCTCCCTCACTGGCCTAAAAGTTCCTCTAATTAGCATTATGTGAATGTTTTTTTTTTTTTTTTTGTGAAAGTTTTTTCTAAGGTTGTTATGTACCCATTTCAAGTTATGAGAAGTTCCTCTGAAACATCCAGTACTACTATCTATAATTGTATATAAATGTGGATATAGCTTCTTACCTTGTACCCAATTCAGCCAATAAAAATGCAAGGAGATGTTTGGGCTGACGATGTAATCTAAAAAGAAAGTAAAATATATAAGCTTTATCCTTCACTGGAAATCTTACCGATTATCTAAAAAAAAAACCATCCTGCTCATTGTTTTTATCTGTAACTACTCAACTATTTGGTGATTTTTAGTGCCTAGCTCATCAAACCCTGAAATAAAGATACATAGATACCATTTATTTACATTTTACAGCCCATAAAGCAACATGTTATTTATAAATACATACATGTGAGTAAATGTCTAGAAACATGTTCAGGAAAGGTAAACACCAACTTTAGAGGTTAACCTCTTTCTCTGAGAAGGAAGGTGAAAGAATCAGAAACAGATACATAGATGTCCTTGATTGTAACTGTAAAACCCTCTTTTTAAAGAAAAAAATCTGGGGGTGCCTGGGTGGCTCAGGGTTAAGTGTCCGACTCTTGATTTCAGCTCAGGTCACGATCTCAGGGTTGTGAGACTGAGCCCCGCATCGGGCTCCCTGCTAGGCATGGAACCTGCTTGGGATTCTCCCTCTCCCTTTCTAAAAAAATAAATAAAAAATAAAACCTTTAAAGAAGAAAAAGATCTGATGCACATGTGTCAACAGGTCAAAATACAAGAAACCTAGGCAATGGGACACTTGGCTGTTTGTTCTGCTAATCCCTATGTATTTCCTTTTTGAAAATCTTCATTACCAAAAAAAGGGGAACAATATATAGAGAAATACCTCATGGTACCACAAGAGCAGAAAAACTGAAAACAGCTTAAATATTCACAAGTGAGGAGCAGTTAAATAAGTTTTGGTACATCTATTCTATTCTGCTTTTAGAACAAGGCAGGTCTCTATATACCCTCCCCCACCAAAGTACACATAGGAAAAAGCAAATACAGAGCAATGCCATTCAGTATTTAAACTTTTTAATACTATTCACTTGGGGGGCATCTGGGTGGCTTAATCAGTTAAGCATCTGACTCTTGCTTTCAGCTCACATCATGATCTCAGGGTCCTGGGATCAAGCCCCGCATTGTCAGGGAGTCGGCTTCCCTTCTCCCTCTGCTTCTGCTCCTCCCCGCCGCATGCACACTCTTCTCTCTCTCTCTAAAACAAATCTTTTCTAAAAAATAATTCTATTTACTTGGCATTGTTTGAACTTGTTCCAATAACCAGGTACTACTACAATTTTAAAAGTTATTCTTTCCCAAAGTGTAGTAAGTGAGGGTTGGTGAAAATATAATAGAAAGGTAAACTCCTACATTGCTAGTGGGAGTATAAATTGGTAGGAGCTTTCTGGAAAGCAATTTGCCAACATCTGCCATGAAAATAACCCATTCCTTTTCACTTGGCAGTTCCATTTTGGGAATTTGCCCTAAGGTTCTATTCTGAGTTACTGTCAAGATACGTCTATTAGGATGTTTCCTAAAGCTTTGCCACTGATCATGAAAACTCGGAAGCAACCATATCCAACTAAGGAACTGTTAAAATGTGTTGCTACTCAAAACATTTCTGAAGACTACTTAATGACATGGGTAAAAGTTTTGTGATATATTAAGAGAAAATTCTGTTGAAAACCAGTATGATACTAATTTATTTAAAAATATCTACATGCACAATACTAAACATAAAAGTATTATGATTATCTCTTAATGGTGGACTTACAGATGATTTTTCATTTTCTTTAGCATGTCTGTATTTTCTAGTTTTTCTACAGTAAGAATATACTACTGTTGTCATCAGCCAAAAGTCTAAAACCTTTTAAGTAATGCCTATAATGAAAACAAGTGATTATCTCAGGGTGGTAGAATTTATAGTGTTTATTCTCTTTTTTGTTCATCACTGTTTTGCCTTTTATCTGCAATAAGCATGTATCATTTATGAAACTGAGTAACAAAAAGTAGATAAATAAGGTCAGTTGCCCTAAAGAGCCTGTCAGAAAAGATGCAGCTGAGCTATGAGAAGTGCCAGGCCCAGAACATGACCTGGGGGTGAGATACACATGGGAGGTGATCATTAAGAAAGCTGAAATCTCATGGGGCGCCTGGGTGGCTCAGTTAAGTGTCTGCCTTTGGCTCAGGTCATGATCCCAGGGTCCTGGGATTGAGCCCCCAGTCAGTCTCCCTGCTCAGCAGGAAGCCTGCTTCTCCCTCTCCCACTTCCCCTGCTTGTGTTCCCTCTCTCACGGTTTTTCTCTGTCAAATAAATAAATAAAATCTTTAAAAAAAAAAAAAAGAAAGAAAGCTAAAATCTCATGGACCATGTCTTGGCAATGACCATTCAAAGAAGAGGCACACCAAATAAAGCTGCTGTCCCGGAGTTCACTTTTGCAGTTTGGCAGGCCCACCCCAGCCTAATGAGTTTTTCCACCTCCCTGGGCTCCCCAGGCTCCTGTCTGAGGACTACATTCAACCTCCTCCCTCTTCCCTCCCATCTGGTTAAGATCCACTCTCATGGGTCAGCATGAGTTGGCTTCTCTCACCTCTGGATGCCTGATAAAGCAAGCCCTGAGACCTAGAACAGGAAGAACTGACAGACTTAAACTGTGACCTCCCTCAAACCAACCCCGACACTTGTGCAATCTTTCCTTCTACCTGCAACAAAGTGCACAATAAGGACATTTAACATAGCCCCCATGGAGTATCTGGTATTTGGGGTGGAGGACTCTCCATTAACCAACTTACAGTTTACAGATATCTGTAAAGTTGACAAAAGAAGTTTTCTTTGTTCCTACTCGGACAACCTGTGGAGGTTTCATGACAAATTTCCTTTTCTCTCCAGCAACCATATCTGGATTCTTTTCCCTCATAATGTTGAATACTCGATTCAGTAGCTATAGAGAAACAATTGGTATTCACATACATTCTTATTAATAGCAGCAGTATAAAATTCCCACTCACTCTGTTTTACCTTCAAGCAAAGCAAACATCACTTTTTGCTAAACACAGTGCTCGCTTTAGCAGCACATACACACTTTTTGCTAAACACACACACTTATCACTACGTGTTCTGGCATTGCCTTAAGAGCAGGACTCAATCCTCAACCAGGATCTGGTCAATTAGGGATGCTCAGCAATACTCAGCTCAAAGTTGAATGAAGGAGCCCTACTAATTTTGCTGTTTCTAGGGAAAGTATGTGATATGTGGAAAAGTATGATTCAGGAAAGCCCAAATAAACTCGACTGGCCCTAAATTAGTCATCCCCTTCCTCTATACTGCTCTCTCAATTAAGGGGCTCCATGTCCTCAGAAGTTCATGGATTCAGATGGAACAGTGAATACCATAATGACTGCTGAACTCTGGGCATTTGAGGGTATCTGGCAACACTGCACTGATTGTGTGACCTCTCTGGGTCTGTTTCAGGATCTGTTCTTCGATGGCCCTTCCAATTCAGTATAAAGATCTTGCTCTTCAGGTGCGCCTGGGTGGCTCAGTCGGTTAAGCATCCGACTTTTGATTTTGACTCAGGTCATGATCTCAGGGTCATGAGATGGAGCCCGGGCTCCGCACTCAGCGGGGAGTCTGCTGGAGGTTCTCTTTCTCTCTGTCTCTCCGCCCCCCACACTGTGCATGCTCTCTCTCGTGCTCTCAAATATTAAAAAATAAGTAAATAAAGATCTTGCTCTTCTTTGAATTTGAGTGAACATCTTAGCCCTTTTTCATAACAGAATTTATCTTACCTCCTCATATGTGTAGTCTCTTTCTGAGCCCGCCCAAGCAGGACCTGTCTGGTTACTGAATGAGATACCATCATCTTTTTTGCTGTCTTCATCTTCTAAAGCTACAGATAATAAAGACCATAAGAATGAGGGGTAGGCAGTGACAAAGTGAGGGTGGGGGGCGGACACAGATCTAGAGAAATGAAAGCTTCAAAGACATTTGTCTTCCCTTCCACATAAAAGCATCAAGGCTCACAACCAACCTAGTACTTCTTCAAGACAGGGATGTTACAACTTTCATAAATAACCCTTAACAGAGACCTCTCTAGGAATTTGTGGTAACAGACACACCGAATTATTTCTTGATTTAACAAACACAAGATAACATAATGCACTGGGATAATTAGACAAAAAAAGTCCAGATGTTTTGAAGCACTTAAGATAACATCCACATCCATTAAAAAATCCATCTGCTAACTACACTAAAGTTCTCTAAAGAACTTTAGCACTTAGAATAAAACAGCACTTTTAACCAAAAAAAAAAAAAAAAAATTTAAACAGTTACAGTTAGTGTAATCCCAACTGCCAAATTTTTCCCCATGAAATCTTGAACTGTCATTATCAAGTTAGATACCCTTTCCTTTCAGTTTCCATTATCAGGCACTGGAAATAAGGAGAAGGGAAAAATAAGAAAGGTCATCAAAGAGACCAGGCCAAAGTTTTGAGTAACCTAGAAATCAGCTGCTGAGCCCCAATATTACCTTCATCTTTCTCTAGTATTTCATCCTCATCTGGGAACTTAACATTCTTCTTTTTCTTCTTTTTATTGCCAAGCATAATGTCAAGGTCATCCTCTGGTTCAGCTGGTTCTTGAATATCACTTTCAATCTTAAGATCCTAAGAAATTGAGATAAGAATCAACATTTTGATACTAGGACTATTTTTTTTAAATGACATGGGCTGACATCATTTTGGAGGAAAACATATTCACAATTGAAGTTATAGATAAGCAATGTCTCTCACAAGTGAACCAAACTGGCTCAGAAAGTCTGTCATTTAGGGGCACCTGGGTGGCTGAGTCAGTTAAGCATCTGACTTCAGCCCAGGTCATGATCTCGGGGTTCTAGTATCGAGCCCTGCGTCAGGCTCTGTGCTCAGTGTGGAGTCTGCTTGTCCCTCTCCCTCTGCCCCTCTCCCCACTTGTGCCCTCTCTCAAATAAATAAAATCTTTAAAAAACAAATAAATAAGGGCACCTGGTTGGCTCAGTCATTAAGCGTCTGCCTTCGGCTCAGGTCATGATCCCAGAGTCCTGGGATCAAGCCCTACATCGGGGTCTCAGCAGAAGGCCTACTTCTCCTCTCTCCCACTCCCCCTGCTTGTGTTCCCTCTCTCGCTGTCAAATAAATAAAATCTTTAAAAAAAATAAAAATAAAAACCAAATAAATAGGGGCGCCTGGGTGGATCAGTCAGTTAAGCGTCTGCCTTTGGCTCAGGTCATGATCTCAGGGTCCTGGGATGGAGCCTCGCATCTGGCTCCCTGCTCAGCGGGGACTCTGCTTCTCCGTCTCCCTCTGTGCTCTCTCTCTTGCTCACTCTCAAGTAAATAAATAAAATCTTAAAAAAAAAAAATTAAAAATAAAGTCTGTCATTTAAATTGGAAGTTCTTTAAGATACCTTGCTTTTTAGAGGCTCCACACCCAATGTGGGGCTTGAACTCACAACCCTGAGATCAAGAGTCACATGTTCTCCTGAGTCAGCCAGGCACCCCTCTTTAAGACACTTTTGTGGCATCTTTTCCTTTATTTTATCCATCAGCCTTGAGATCTTGTAATTATTGCCCATGTTTCCAAACCAGGCCACTGTCATAATCACCTGGGAATCTTTAAAAGATTCCTGTATCAGGGCACCTCAGTGACACAGTCGGTTGAGCATCTGATTCTTGGTTTCGGCTCAGGTTGTGATTTTGGGGTCGTGAGATCGAGCCCTGCATTGGGATTTGCACTCAGTGCAGAGTCTGCTTGAGATTTTCTCTCTCTCTCCCTCTGTCCCTCCCGCTCATGTGGTCTCTTTCACTAAAACAAATAAAATCTTAAGGAAAAAAAAAGAAAGATTCCTGTATCTTTTGGTTGACAATCTTTTTTTTTTTTAAAGATTTTATTTATTTATTTGACAGAGAGAGAGA